GGGTTACAACTATTCATGGGTGCTATCTCATACAAGTTGTATTGAAGTGTTTTGTGGTAACAAAAGCAGTGAAACAATTGATAGGAGAGACTTCCTGATTCTACTTTGTCTCGGTGCAGATCACGTTTCCATTTTCCAGCCAGAGATTCCCTAAAGCTACGTCACTGCTTTAACGCTTACGACACCCTTAGACGTCATCCACCAAATTCTAGTCACTGTTGATGGTGCTGGCGTCTTGTTCTGTTGGGAGGCCAGAGGCACTACTAACACAGGCCAGTTGTAACACACTCAGTTCCTCAAAGCAGAAACTTTGTTTTGAGAAACTCTGCATGCTAATGTGCAGAATTCATTCACAGAAAAGGGATTTTGACATAAGAAAGTTACTTTTTGGGATGTGAATTTAAATTTATGTCAATTGTTTCCCTGGATTATATTCATGCTAATATAGGCTTTGCTATCTAGAATACAAGACTGGACCCTGGATGACATATAAAAGGAGCAGAATGTCACAGAATTGGAGCCCCGCTGTTTGTCTATCCTTGGCACCTTACTAAATGGACACATTTAATGTAAAATGATTTAAAACAACATTTAAAAATGAAAATACACTATTTTTTATTTACACATTTTTGTCTAGACTGTTTAAAACAGTATTAGCCTACAAAAACAATTACACATAGGCAGGAAAGAAGCATCAGTTTCTCTTCGTCATCTCTTTCATCTCATATTATTCTATTTAGGTTAGAAACTGTTCTTGTCTCATCAAATAATCAGTGTGTTTGAGAAAAATGGTCATTGCATCTCAAATCATTGTAAGCCAACTCCGAGCTGCTGAAAAAATGTTATGCTCCAAAGTTTGTACAGATAATGTTGGCTTTGAAATTGAAGTTTGATGCTTGTTTGGTTGGTTGGGTTTTTTTGCCCATTGAAATGTGAAGCAGCTTTCAGCCAGAATACCTCTTAAAAATATTAGACAATAACCTAAAATTTCCACTGGTGTTTCTTACCATTGAAGCGAAGGACTAAATTGTAATTTGGGACAGAAATAATATCTGATGACGAATTAAAATATGAAAAAGGAGCACACATTAATAAAAAAAACTTCACAAAAGACAACTAGTGACCATTTCTCAATGGTATATAGCCGCATTTCACATCAATGCAAGATAAAAATGAAATGAATAAATAAATAACATAAAAAAAATTTAGTCAAAAAATGAAGAAAATAGAATAATTGCTTTTTTTAAACTTTTTAGACAGATCTAAAAGTATAAGTGCTAAACATTTGTTAGCTTACATTATTAGAAGCCACTACAGCGCTGCAATTAATTTGAGATATAACAATTTAGTATGAATGCATTTTTTTCTGTGTTGCAATTATCTCTTTCTGCTGTTAGAATAAATAAAAATGATGTGATGCAGTCAAGCTAACCCATTCTTGGAAAATAAAATCCTTTCTCAACTGGGTCTACCCACTTCCATGTAAACTGTTGGGATGATGTCATACATGACTTGTCCTCACTAAGTGGTGATGCACAGGTCCAAATATATCCAGTTCAGGCTCATCGCTTCACAAAACAGCCCCCTGTAGACTTCTTCAGACCTATGCATATCTTCTTGCATGCTGAAGTATGTCTGGCAGACTGTATCACAATTTAAACTTGAGATTTCCTCTATTAGCTTCTGAAATGGAAGCTTTGTATTTACACTCATTCAGTGTCATTGGCTTAGGGTTAGGGTTCCTAACAACTGCATTTAGTAACAATTTGGATGTCTTTCTAGGAACTAGTGAATTGTGGTGATGCTTGAGAAAGAGAACAACCAATGTTGCTGAGATTGGCAGCTGGGTTTCTCCTCGAAATGCTTTGATCTGGAATAAGCTGTGGTGCTAACTTACTTTTCAGAGTCATGCCACCTTCAAATATGTCACTGTTCAACATGCAGTCCTACCTTCACATACTGTCAGGAATGTGTGTAAATATGTGAGGATCTTGAGTGGCAGACTGTCTGTAACTAGGCGCCTGTCTGGGGTTACGGTCTTGATTAATGATTGGGCTAAAAGAGCAGCATTTGCTTCTCGACTCCAGATACCTGATTGATTTATGATATTGCGAAGCAGTAATGGATAAAGAAAAGCTGGCCAGTGGGTCCCTCATCCCATCATAAAGAAACACATTTACAGGTAGTTAATAGAAGACTCTGGATTTAGGAATTCAAAGACTTCAGAGGTTGACTTGCGCACAAAAGGTGCAGCAGCAGTACGGAATGCAGACAGACCGTTTCTTATCTGCATAGCACCTGAGACGAATACCTTTCGAATGTCACCCTAAGCATCACCTCATGACAGGAGCTGGAATGGACATGTGTTGTTTATCGACAGCATGTTCACCAATTTGGATTTAGTCTCAATCTTTTATAGCCACAACTGGTGAACTTGATGGTGCATTTAGGAGTTCACAAGTATTATAGCACAGCTATCAATGAAATACTGAGCTTACCTTTACAAAGATGTTACTCTATAAGAGCTAACTGATTCAGTAAAGTGGTTCTACACAGTTTCTATGCATTTATAAATTTACAATGGTAAATTACATACCCTGCAATATATTAGCTTGCGTCCCACACACAAAACAAGGAAGTCCTGTCACAGCACAGTTCTTAACGGGCCTCATTATCTTTACTCAGCCTTTATTTAATAGGGGGAAAAAGCGCTTGAACTAGAAACGACTGAGGGATTACCAAAAAGCTGTGTTACATTGTTCAGGGTTAGAAGGCTCACACAGAGACGGTGAGTGCACACCAGTCAGTCTCAAGGACTCCACCACTCTTGTAAATGATTCTCGGGCTGTTCAGGTGTTCTCTGGAAGGAAAAAAAACAAGCTTTGTTGACCACTTCAGGACCTCTGACGTGAAACCGCTAAGAAAACAGCATCTTGTGGGATCAGAGGTCTTAAACATTGTTCACCCAGGTTCCCTGGAAGTATTCATAGAGCATGATGTATTATGCCACAAGTCAGGTGGGTTACTGAATCAGCCCGCTGCATCTACGCAAACCACGAGCAGATCAAATCAGTCGGTCATGGGTAATGTAACATAAGTGAGGTCTTGGCCAAAAAATACCACAAACCTGCCCTCTGTGCATGCTGACTCAGAAACAGAATAATGCACGGATTTGAAGGTAGCAGATGGTATTCCGGTTCTGTGTCGTAGCATGTGTCACGGGTGTTTATAGTGTCATGGCTTCATATCACTGAATTTTGCATCTCAATCCTCTTTGCATGTGGTCTCTCCGACCATGTATGATATGTCTTTCCTTGAATGACTCATCGTCCATGTGGAAACTCTAGCATGTAGCGCTGCAGTGGATGACAGGTTTGAAGGAAGGGTATGACACTTGGAGTTCACTCAGTATTGGCATTAATCAAACATTTACTTAGTGTCACTGAGGAGCTGTACTGAAAATGGAGGGAAGCGACACTGAGGCGGTGGCTCAGAGTCAACGTGACAAAGTGCATGCACCATAAACACAGCTTGAGAAGTCTTTGAATTCTTTAAAACAAGAAAGTACAATGCTTAAAAAAATACAGGTTCAAGTACAGCATCAAGTCAAAATGACCTCCAGTAGGACACTAGTGTGAATGTCTCTGACCGAACAATCAGAAATAGACTTAATGAGGGTGGCCTGAGGGCTTGATGTCCTGTAGTGTGCCCTGTGCTCACTGCCCGGCATTATGGAGTCCAACTGGCATTTGCCATAGAATACAAGAATTATTGAGGTCCACCAATAGCACCCTTTGTTTTTCACAGATGAGACCAAGTTCAATACTGGGATGAAATATCTGGAACCAGTGTCAGACCATCAACTGGTCCAGTGGGTCCTGGATTCCTCGTGGTGTGTGACAATGCCAAGTCTCTTGTGACAAAAGTATGCAGGCAGTTCCTGGGAGGATAAAGAAACTGACTCCATTGACTGGACCCCACAATCACCTGACCTAAATCCAACAGAAGAACTCTGCGACATCATGTTTCGGTTGCACGTCAAACTGTTTGGAAGCTCAGTGTTGCCCTGGTCCAGATCTGGGAGGAGCCCAGGCATGTGGGAACCATACACACTGCTGAGAACCATTCTTGAGCTTCAGTGAAATTTCAGCAAAATGGACGAGCCTGCCACGTCATTTTGTTCCCTCCTTTATCTTTGAATTCAGCCCTCTATAATTTGATAACTGTCACTTTCATCAAACATTGTGGCATCCTATTCCTTCCTACAAATTTCCCCCCAAAATTATTAATATAGATACGGAACATGATTTTTTTCCCCATAACAATTAGATGTGTTTTCAAAGTGTTCCTTTATTTTTTTTAGCAGTGTATTCATTCAAAGTCAAGGGCATCGTGTTACCTGTTCTAAAACGCTCTGCATTAAAACATTTCCAGAAGTGTGTCTACTGGCAGCTCTCTGACTGAAGGCCCTGTCTCTGAACCGTAACGGAGTATTTTAAAAGTATTCAGCTATATTCCATTACTGCCGAGTTGTTGATATGACTCCTAGAAAGTTGATTTTTATCAAACCCTGACAGACTTTCCCGCATTAGTCATTAGACACTTACATAAAGCCAGCATTTACACACTACAGGTGATTTTACTGTGCCACGCTGAATGACCTGTAGTGAGGATATGCACACCCTCTCATGGTCAAACGTAGAACAGCAGTTAGTTTGTTGAAATCCATAAAATCCTTACTATGTTTTCTAAGTTTAAAGCTAAAAGGAAAGATGTGACACTTATGTTAGTTTTGTAAGGATTTATTCAAAATCAATATATAGAATTTTTTTTGGGGGGGGAAATGGTCACGCTTTCAGTTCCAGCAGGGAACAGAAAGTGTGACCATTTAAGCTTAGAAAAGAAACTAACCTGAGCTTATCCCCAGTACCTGAAAGACTCGAGTCACATCAGGTCACCTTAAAGCCTTTGGTATATGAATACATAAAGAGTCACATGGATTTTTATAGAAAACTATGCTTTATTTGAAAACAGTTCAGCTTCACAAAAATGATATAAAAAAATAAAAATAAAAAAAAATCCCCTCATCCGAACCAGCACATCTATCAAGATACAAGGTTTTTTTGCTTTTGGTTATATTTCCATATGGCTGCTGATGACAGGAACGCCGCAGCACCAGATGCTTTAGGCAAAGTGGTATAAAAGCACTATGTATACCTGACTGCTGGGGTAATGGCTTTGATGCCTACATGGTTAACTGTTAATTCAATTATGACACAAGTTATACATATTTATAGATATTTTAAAAGAAAAAAAAATACAAGAATAAAAACAGATCATATTACAAAACTGTAGCAGATGACCCTTTATATGTACCTTCCCGTACTACTCAAATATTAACAGTAAAACATGACAAAAAACAAGAATTCTACATACCACTAACATGTTTGTTCATTTTTCTTTTTCAGTTGATAAACGTGCAGTCTCTACGTTTTTAAAATCCACAAAACCTGCCAGACTTCATGATGCTTTCAGCAAGAAACAAGATGTGGAAATGTGGACATTTTTAGGTCTGTGTGAACTTGTTATCCAACTTCAAACTCAACAAAACCCCAGCTGTCTTTAGCCCACGATCTCACCCCGCTAAGGCGTACGCTACTACATGGAGTGGTCTACAGAGCAGGGTCAGTCTTGTTCTTCTTTTTCAGGATTTTGAGGAGCTTCTCGGACATCATGTAGGGCCTCTCCGGGCTGCCGTCATTCCTCTCCAAATCCTCCACTGGAAAGAGGTCAAAGAAAAGGACATTAAACCATGCTTTTGAGGACTTAGCATAAGTTTAAATGAGCATCAGATTTTGCGATGTATATTCACAGGTAGGAAATCTGAATGAAAACCTTTCAGTTCTGCAAAAACAAACAAAACAAAAAAAAAAGCATTTTTTTTTTTTTTATTAAACAGATATTACTGGTTAAATTGTGTTTATTAAACCAACTGCACTGCAAAACACACAGTCATTAAAATAAATATTTTAAAAGGCAAAGCTACGCTAATTTACAATTTAAAAAAACAAAAACAAAATTGCACGACTAAAAGACTCCCCAGCATTCATTAAACAGAGACAAATGTGTTATGGCTTAGAGTGAACATAGATTAAAGTGCTTCACTGAGTGTATTAAAAAAAGATTCTGGTTGCATCAACTGTAAACACTAATATATTAATGTGCAAAACATTAATAATGCTGTCAATTAGGCACATGATTGGCTTCAAGTTTCTATTAGGTAGTGGCAGTGCGAGCATGTTTTATGGAGGCAACGCCGAGTTAGAAATATGAAGTCACCTCATAGGGAGCCATTCATTTACCCAGATGTTCACTGAAGTTTCACATTTTCAACAGCCATAAAACATCTGCCAGCTTTCAGCACGCTAAACAGGATGAAGCGAATGTCAATAAATCTCTGAGTGTGAGGTGACATCACTCGCATCACAAAATTCATACAACAATTAAACACATACCAAACTCCTGCCTGCTGTAAAGCCCTTCTGTTCGTTTAAGTTGACCCTTCTCTAAGCCCCACCTCCTCACTGACAAATAATGTCTGTTGTGCTGATTTATTTGAATTATTTTGGAAAAAAAAAAAAAAAAAAAAAAAAATCACAAACTGTATATAAAAACACGAGCATGGTCACTATGACATCACCCTTTGGTTTTTGGAACCCCGACTTTTGGCCCTTCCCATCATATAATGTTTGTTTGTTTGTTTGTTTTTAACAAGACATCAAGTGTGAGGGTGGATCTCTTCAAGTCTGTTAGAGTAACTTGGACCATAATTAGTAGTTTAATCATTTTTCTGTACTCATCAAGATATCACACTAGCCACTGATGACATCATCAGTTTGAGGATTGCATTTACTGAGGTCATAAATATAGTAAGTAGTAGGCTTGTTTTCCCACAGACTTCCATATAACTTGAGGAGTCGCCCCCTACTTGCCGCTAGGATAAAAGCAGGTTTAAGACACAAATGCAACTCTATTACACTACCCTAATACATAAGAAAGTAGTTTGTTTAAAAAACTCTGGTTATCGCTTCTACAGGGTTTGGTTACCAGCTGTAACCAGAGTTTTCCTGTCCTATACTGTACTACAGTAGTGTGATTTTGTTTGTTTGTTTGTGTGTTTGTTTGTTCGAATTATTATTACAATTATTTCCTAGCAACAATCCATGCTTTAGGCTTACTTTTAGGCAGTCTGCTTTACTTTTGGTTAAAATATTTGCCTAACAAGCAAAAGATCACCAGTTGGGGAGGAGACAAATTCCTAGCAGGGTTACATCAGGAAGGGCATCCAGTGTCAAAATCCACAAGATCCAATATGCAGATTGGATCGCTGTGGTGATGCCTTGCGAGTAAAAGAACCACCGAAAAAATGAAGCCATGTGCTTTACTCTTAAATGTGTTTTCTAAATATAACAAATAGTATTAGACAATATTTGCTGTGAGTTTGTGAAATTCTACTGAAGACAATGTGGTATACGCTGCTGTATAAAACGCTACTTAGTGTCGGATGTAACAGTTTTTAAAGACCACCAGAGGCAAACTAAACGAAGCCTAGATAATCCATTTAGGGAACGTTCAACGTCCTATTACCTCAGGAGGATGCTGAAATCAATCTGAACTGAAAAACGTCCTTCATTCATTTTGAAACTTGCGGGGTTGCATCTGCACAAAGTGGACTAAAGCAAAATGCTGAATCCCTGCCATTTTAAGGCGTGGTGTTTTGTAGCTGTACTAGTATCTGAGAGAAGTTAAGGGAGCAGATGAGAGAGTCCCAGCTCATACTTTGAAAGGGTTCAAAATAAAAAGACTTTCTGGATTTTGCTCTGCCTGTAATTAAGTGGAAAATCTGAGTTTTTCCCCCCACAAACTCCTCCTCTCTAAGCCGTGTCCTCCTCCTGAGCCTCCTGTTTCAGCTGGGTGTCTTCATCGTGTTGCTGCTGCTGAGCGGAGGGCTCAGATGGATCCTCCTCCTTGTTCTTCCACAGAATCTCACGAAGACTTGGCGACATGTAATAAGGCCTCGCAGCTGAGCCGTCATTGCGCTCCAGGTCTTCGCCTTATCGTGTTTTTGATTATTTTGTGTTAATGGGTGAATGTGAAAAAAATTTATGTATACACCAGGGTGTTAGAGGGCAAGTGGGAAGGGAAAGGGAAATAAGAGGGGGCGAATTAGGAAGTGAGAAATAGGAAAGGAGACACAAAAAGAGAAAGAAAGTCAAATGGCAAGCAAGCAAAAGCACCCAAAGTATCACTTCATCACCAAGCAGCAACATTTGTCAGGCTAACAGGAGCAGGCTGTTATTTTGAAATGTAGCACACCGTATTTCATGCAATTTAAAATTAGTGACAGCCCAACACCAGAAGCAAAGTGAGAAAAGTTTTCATTTCGTTCATTCCTAACATTACACCCTTCCTCCTTTTTTTTTTTTTTCCCTTTCACGTAAGAACCTGTTTGGACGTTTGCGTGGATAATTTGAATTACATACAGATGTCACAACTGACTGAGAATGTGTCACTTACAGAAACACAGGAACAGAGTGTCCACACACATGGAGTACACGCTGAAGAATGCATGGGCGATGAGGTATGAGCAAACCACCATAGTCTGATAGAGATGACAACAAACACACAAACATTATCCTTCAACAAAACAATTAAAGACAAGAAAAGAAAAAAATAGAAATTCAGTCCTGCTTACCAGGATGGGTACCCAGTAGTAGTTCAGGGTTGGAGCTGTATTCTGAAAGGCTTTCACTCTCCCAGAGAAGAAGAAGAAGGAAAAGACCCCTGTGGAGAGAAACCCCAAAGGATATATAAATACAATTCCCATGTACACTACACAGTCTGAGCTGATGATTACAATTTCTATTAGCTATAAATAATGTTGCACATTATAAATCAGTGGAAGCAATCCAGTCCTATTTAAAGCTCCAATTAAATCCTACTTCCATAAAATAAACAAATCCTAAAACACCACAGCCAGTAAGTTTGTAGGATTTCATCTGCTATGCAGACATTTCTGGACTGTGAGTTGAATCGGTCATCCAGCGATGGGTCGACACAATCTTTCCAGGAAATGCTGGTTTAGTCTGATATGGTCAACATGAAGGGGAAAAGAAAATACATAAACAAAAGGCAGACTCACCCAGAAGCCCAACAATGAGCAGTTTGCCCAAAAATAAAATGAAATCTGTCACTTTATCCAGCACAGCCACCCTGCAGGGATTTAAAAACAGGCATTTACTCCAATCAGCTTTATACGATTAAACATTTAACAAAATGCTTTCTGATGAGGTGATGATTGTACACTCACCTGATCACATTCCTCATGAGGAGGAAGAAGGCGTCTCTGGCAGAGGTGCAAAAGTTTTTGCCATAGATCGCCGCCTAGAGGCCAAATGCAGTCATTACGTCAAGATAACACTTAACATTATAAATACCAAGCTTTTAATCACGCCAGCTCACAGACTTGAATAAATAATAACTGAAACACGTACCATAATATACGCATTTCTGTTCAGGAACTTGACGAATTTCTCCAGACACCAGAAACAGCACTTCAGACAGCACAACAGGAACTTTGCAAACTTATTTTGGGCTCCTGTGAATGAGAGCAATTAACCTTTAACAGATGTTAGACATAAATAGATCACTTTTATAGCTCATATTCTTAGAAACGGTGGACTGCAGCCTTGAAATGACATCTATATAATATTGAACTCCATAAAAAAGTAGCAAACCTTTCAGCTTGTGGTCCAGATACTCCAGCAAAACCCTGATGATCTGGATGATGGAGAGGATAAGGGAGCCAAATGCCAGAGTCCCTGTGTGATACCTAAAACAATTAAAGAATGAAAACAGGAAGTATGTTTCAGGACCCGGCAAAGCAAATGTCAGAAGACAGTTTTACTAAAAGTCTTCACCCAACACAGATACAAACCTGAGAGATCTCCCAAGAGAAGAAAACACTGGGAAAGCAGGAATGTCATCTGGCTTTTTGGCAGCCCAGTAGTAAGAAGCAAACGCCCCAGCTAGGGTCATCTGTCCCAGTCCCAAGACAAAATTGGCACACCAAAAGAAGAGGAAGACGTTGTAGAACTGCAGGGCAATTAGGTATTTGTGGTAAGGGGTCTCTCCACCGTAGAAAGCAAAAAGGCACTTCGAGTCAGGACACTGGGCTTTTATGGGACTCGTCGAGTAGTTCTGAACAAAGACACAGTTAATTTAGTGACACCGCAAATGTATTTCTCAAATCCAAAACATTAAATCCAAGCGGCATGCATGGAAGTAAGTGAGATGAAAATTTAACACACAAATGAAGAGGAGAAAAACTTACAGCTGGGTCACACGTTTGTCTCGAGTAGTCACAATTTGTCTCATTGAAGATTTTGTAGATAGGCTGATTGGACGTGGACAAGAAACTGATCAGTTCTGTTAAGGCTTACCATCATTAACTGATAACAAAACTGAGACAAATGAGTGTATAATAATACTACTGATAAAGAATAATATGTATGTTCCTCTGTTTTGATTGGGTTTATTTGTTCATGAATGCAGTGAACTTCAATCACGCAGCTGCAGAGTATGCATGATCAAACTTCAACCTTAGCTTTTTAACTTACAAGCCCTGTTCATCATCCCTGCACATACTCCGTCTAAGGTATCTTTACCTCAACCGTTCATTCAGTTCATTCATAGACACATTAATTTTTTAAGTCAGTTTAAAAGTTTAAATTCTTCAAGAACATTTAAAAAAAAAAAAAAAACAGTTCAGAGTTGTATTTTTCCATTTCCTCATCAACCCTAAATAACAACACTACCACGAACAATAACTTGAAAGGATACACAGCAGTTACTCCCCAGTAGGCAATGACCACAGCCAGGAGGAGGAATGTAAACAGTGGGTAGAAAAGGGAACACAACATATGTCCAATTGCTCTGAAAACAGGATCACAGCATCAGTGGGAAAAGCAAATGCAAACATCTACCTTCACAGTTATGAATCAGGTTCTTTATCTGCACCCTTAATGCAGCGCTTAAATCCATTACTGTCAGTCACTCTAAAATAAACAATATAACGTCTAAGTTTTATTGATCCGTTTCTCTTCTACTTGCTACAGCTCTAAAATGAAGTCTGACCTGCTGGCTTCTTTAATAAGAGCAATGGCAATGAGGATCCTCTTCCAAAGGAAGATGAGCAGCAAAATGATGATGACCTCCACAATGGCTAGAATAATAACTATATAAGGAGATAAGAGAAAAATCACGTGAGTGTCTCAAGTTTTAATCAACATATGTTGAGTGTGGATGATAATCCATGGAGATTTTGAGGATGTATACTGACTGAAGGCCAGCCAGGTCTGTCTAATTTGCAGGTAGACTGTGAAATCTGTCTGGAAGCCCAGATCCTTGATAGTCACATTAGCGCCAGCCTCTCCTTTCAGGGCCGCATACTCCATGTAGCAATGGAAGATACCTAATCAGCAACAGGAAGCACACAGAAAAGCAAATAAATTTTTGGGGAAAGCAGGTGGAAAAAAGGGGCCTTGTTATTTCCTTTTGGGTTTGCTTCCAAACAGACGAGGAGATCTCTTTCATTTCAAGAGTCAGATCAACTGTGAATCGGTTACAATGATAACTTTGACATCTACCTGAGCAAGTCTGCAAAGTTTAACTAGTTGTTTTGCTAACACTCCACATTCATTTTTCAATTCCACTCCTTTAGAACAGATTTGTTTTCAGTTGACGGTCTTATGGTCGTCTGTTAAAGCCATAAAAATACAAACTTGCATTGCTTTTTCTTTGACTGTAAAATCAGTCTGTCAGTGATTCTTCAGTAGTACACTGGAGAGTAGCAAGGTAGCAGAGATTGAGGGTTACGTGCATGGTAGGAATTAAAAAAAAAAAAAGCTTAAAGCAGTTAAAATAAAAGTTAATTACTTGAGACACTGAAACTGAACTCTGCGCTAAGCTTGCCAAGTGTGAACAGCACTGTTTAGAGATACTTTGAAGTAATCTGTGAAATGATCAATGACTTGGTAATGATGGAGAAAATTCTTTTCCCACAATAATGAATGTGTGTTTTTTTTAATATACGCTTTGTAAGCATATGCAAAATTCAGCATTGCCAGCTGTTTGTTTTTGCATGAGACATGTTTTCCCAAAGGTGTCTCATACTCTCATTCCTTTTAGTGTGAAAGGATCAGGTTAGGATATGACAGGACGTGACACTGTGTTTTTCTTCACACTCAACTAAACAAATGACACACATTTATTCAAATAGAAAATCTAACATCACAGCTGTGGGTCACTTCACTCAAACTTTGCATCTTCCTTTCATGCAAATTCCTTCAGTTTGCATTTTTTCCACACTGACTACAGTTTTCTGACAACAAGGACTTTCACAATTTATCCCCAGTCAAAAGTTACCAACCCTGCATTAATATTCCTGCTGTGCTGAATACTAGTGTATTCACTGAGCATCCTCACGGTTATACCGACACTCATGATTTACTTACTGACCAGCTAGTCTGGACCTGCTTTCTGGGTAGGACCAGATTACTAAGCCATTATGAACCACAATGATATTTTCCACCTTGTCCCTTACCATAGCCTATCACCGCTACCAACATGGCAATCATGACCCAGACCATGATCCCTGCCAGGAAGCGGAGGAGGATGAGGAAGAGGAGGCTGATGATCATGGCAATAACCAATCCCCTGCAAAGAGGAGGTACGGTCAATTTAAGGAAAATCTCTTTGCAATACAAACAGAGCTGACAAGGATGAAAAAGGAGAGTTTATTACTTACAAGAGGATCCAGTACCAGCAATGTGTGAAATCCTCAAAGATTTTCATCACCACCTGACGAGCTTCCATTACCACAGTGGCATTCCTGTGGAGAGAGCCCCGTGTGTTTATCTGCTTCAGGAATTTCTCATCACACTTTATTTGTAGTGGCAGGCTGACACAGACCAAGAGATAGAGTAATGTAGTTGAAAACTAGCTGTGTCACAAAATTCTACTGATGTATACTCACTGTACACCAGCAACAAGGTCTTGGGCGTTTCTAATTTCATTTCCATCATTAAATGTGGAGCTGTTTCCCACAGTTATCACCCCTCCTTTCATGCCCAAAGCTGGGAAGCACCTGCGGGTGACTGAAAGAAAAGCAGAGAAACGTATCATTGTCAAAAATACAAAAACAAAGAAATGAAATGTGTTTCCCTACATGTGTAAAGAATAAAACAGTTTTATGTGTAGCGAGATGTTTTCATAGTGGGGCTTTTTTGGCTTCTTTTTGTAAATTAATTATTTAAAAAAAAAAAAAAAAAAGGGTGTCATTTTCAGCTAATAGTAAATAATTTGTACTAGATATTTGTTAAACTATAGTACTAAAATATTTTATAATTCTTCAGCCAGGAAGGAGTGCAGAAAGATAAAGAAGTTCAAGTACAGTGCAGATAAGCAGCACAAATGATGTGATTGAATCAGATCCAATTTATGTTGTCCAGTTGTTAAAAATGGGGGAAGATGGGTTTGTTTGTGTGTGTAAATCTGAAGGTCTCTCTGCTTGCCTTTTTGTAAAGGTCAAAGGTCATGAATCATGCAATGATACTCTAGTACAGCGGTCCACAACCCCCGGGCCTCGGACTGGTACCGGTCTGTGAGTCGTTTGGTACCGGGCCGCAAGAGTTGAGGCTCAGGTGTGAAATGTATGGTTTTCAGGGTTTTCAGCGTTATTTTGTTATCGTTTTTATCATTAACTCGGTTTTCCTTGGTCTTTTCACGTGTGTTATGAATAAATCTTCTTTTTTTCGGTACTGGTACTAGTTTTATTTTGTTGTATTTATCCGCGACACCTTAAAGGCCGGTCCATGAAAATATTGTTGGGCATAAACCGGACCGTGGCGCAAAAAAGGTTGGAGACCGCTGCTCTAGTATCATTGCATGAATATTCCACTCCCCTAAAATTCCTTTGAAAAAGAATCATTTACACATATTTAGAGATTCTACTTACAGGGTTTGCTGGGAAGCAGCATTGCAGGACAGAGACGTTGCTTAAGGATTTCTGCAACACCCTAAAAACACAGTATATCCAAAACATAAGTGAAGGTCTGTAGAAAGCATTCGAATATATCGATACCCGAGATAGTACAGAAGACTTCAAGTACAACTCACCATTGTGTTGGTCACTCCTTCTTCACAGAAGTTTTTATAGTAGGCAAAGTCACTATTGACAGCGTATGCTTTGATTAATGTCATGAACTTATCAGGGCACTTCTCCACACACATCTAAAGATGAACATGGACAGCAGGACAGTCAGGCCACATTCCCATCACAAAAGCAGTCAAAGAAATAATGTAATAATAATCCTTCTTCAGCTTGTTCTTAGCCATCTCTTCTACAGAAGTGAGGCTTTTCCTCACATCCATTCCTGTACAGGGTTCTAGTTGTCGTTGTTCGGGGGTGCACTGGTGAGAGTCCTTTCTTTGAAAGCTTTCATTTCGTACCACTGGCAGGCTTGTTTTCTACTGTGTGGCTCTTTGAATTTCTTTATGACACTTCTCACTCTAGCCTGTGATACCTGGAACCGCAGTGATCTTTGTATATCCATCTCCTGTTTTGTTAGCATCAATAATTCTTTAAGCTTAAACTGATTTCTTTAGCTTTTGACAATAAAATGTCCCAAAAGAACAGTTCAAACCCATGTTGAAGTTTTTAAATTGTGCGTAAATTGGAAAATAACCCTCAGTTTTCAGTTGATTTTGTAAGCATTGACGATTACAAAGCACAGCAGTGGTTTGTACTATGGCTCAATGAAAAGGTCAGTTTTTCCAGGCCTAAAAACACTGACCCTGTTCATTTTGTTTTCTGAAATAATTCTGTTATTTTGGCCAATCACAAATGTATTTTTTCTAAAGAAAACTTGCTGATAGGGGGCTGGGGGAGTAACTTTTATCCTCATCTGTAAACAAAAGCAAAAAGCCAACTCTTCCCCAACTCTACACTCATAATTTTAAGCCTTCACAACAAAGCACATAGTGTATATTGTGCTTTTCTTTTTGTTTAAATAAATATTATAAAGATTCATCAACAGAGGAGTTGGCACCTGTGTGGTTGGGCACTGGAACTCCAGCAGCACCATGGGACTGGCACACTTCATGATGTTGAAGTAGAACAAAAAGGGCTTCTTCCTGTTGGGAACAAGACCAAAGAAAGTGCACAGAAATGTACACAAATTTCTAATTAACTATTTTTGTCCAGGGACAACACAATGCTGTCACAACACTGTTTGCAGGGTTTATTCAGCTGTCCTGCCTTTCAATTGGCTAACATGTGCTAGGTACTTTCCAGTTTACTTTTACACATTCCAAAAATACATGGTGTGGCTATTGAAACAACCCAAAAAAAGTATACAAATAATACAAATGAATAATAGTACCAGGTAAGGAAATTCCCAAAAATTGATTCTTTTCAGCTGGGACTGCAGAAGTCACCTGGATGAGGGACGAAACGTTTCTCCCACTGAAAACGCTACGTCCAGATGAACAGAATCTACTTTTTGGGAACTAACTTAATGTAAACATGCCAGGAAAACCTTTGAGTTAACTTGTTAGTCATAATGGATTGTATTAATGTTGCCTAATTAAGTTAGCTAGCTAAGCTTTCAAACCAGTTGTATATATTTATAATTGATTTTGTATATCTTTTTAGATGGTTATACACAAAAAAAGCCTGAGGAATCGAAAACACCACGCAAAACTTTTGAGCCACCCTTCATTTCTGCTTCCAAGGAGCCAGACTCTCTGGCCACTTAACACTGGCCTATGAACCATCAAGGCATAAAAAATGCACCTAACTCAAGGAATGAACATGAAAGAAACAGACAAAAATAAATTAATATATGTATCTTTAGGGACAACACACCGAACACTAACAAGCTTGTTTTGAGTTGTACAAACTCTGTCTTTTGTCTTATATACATCCATGTATGTTAACACATTTCAATAAACTGTTTCAATTTCAATAAACTGATTGGTGCTGCGGCTGCGGCTGCAGCACCAATCCGACTATCGATCTCCTGCTCCCTTCTCCCATCACTCGTGAACAAGACCCCGAGATACTTAAACTCCTCCACTTGGGGCAGGAACTCGTCCCCGGCCCGTAGTGGGCACTCCACCCTTTTCAAACTTTCAAAATACCCTAAAGATCACACTCAAATTAAGAAAAATAGAGCAGCAGAGACCGTTTTATCTATACTTTGGAAAGCAACTCACTCGAGTGGAGTGCCAGCCTGTCCACAGAACTGGCCTCGGCTGTCTGTGGGGTAGATCACCTTTCTTGGGTCACCCTGGGACCAGGCTGGGGTAGAAAAGAAGGAAAAAGACAGATATAAAGGTTATGAAACTTGCATTCAGTTTGGATATTTGTGCTTCTGTGTTGTCTCCTTACCGAGTATTCCCACTGCAAGGTAACCAAGTATGGCAATAATGAACAGAATGCAGCAAACAATGTCTGTGCAGCCCCTACAGTGGAGAGAGTTCAAATGGTTAATGGAGTCCTCTGTAGTCATCTGCACAGTGTAACAGCCACATCTCTGTCTCACCTGTTCTGGATTGGGCCCCTGAAGCTCGGGTCATGCTTCCTGGGCTCACCTGCATGAAAGGAAAGAAATGCATTGATCAATCAATGAGCTCTTAGCATTGTGGCAACTGAAAGCATGGCTCGCTGAGAGGTTTAACCCTTTAAAACCTGAACCATGAAATAACTGCCAAAAATTTTGAATTTTGACTTGAATAATGGAGTGGGGTTTTTTTTACCTTTAGACAAAATATAAGAATATATCAAATTTTAATCTGCATACATGAGTTTTAATTTGTAACACACTTGCTACATAAGCCATATTTTTGCAATTTAGCCATTAAAAATGTCATGTAATTTACATCATTTTTGAGGGTAAAAAAAAGTCACGCTGATGATATAGATGTCACACAAAAAAAACCCTCACAAAACACATGTATCAAATACGATACGCTGGGGTTTAAAGGGTTAAGTAAACATCTTTATAATAGCTGCTCATTAATTTATGTTAAAACCAGAGCTGGATCAAGGCCATGGAGGAGTGCGCCAGAGTCTTCCTCCCATTTTTCTCCCAGATGACTTTCCCTGAAGGCCAGACACGCCCAAAAACTCATCAAATTCCTCCCTGCTGACTAACCAGGAGCTCATGTAAAACTCATAATACAGCAGGAGCAAACAACCCATGTGTAAAGCCACCAGCGGAGCTAGTATTGTGTTTTTCATACAGCTCTATGTCAAAACAAAGCTATCATGCTCATCAAACACATCTTCCCAGTTCATAAAATGAGCAAACTTTTTTCTTTTGTCTAAATATGGTTAGATTACAACATGCTGTCTCTTATAATAAGGACTATGCTTTCTGTTTTTGCAGCTGAAGTTGCAGGTTCAAGCAAACACTTGAGCTTGCTACAGGTTATCTGACGGTAGTGTGTCTGCTATCTAAGCAAATTTCACTTTCCAGTTCCAGTCCAAATTCTGGTTAATTGTTAATCCACAAACGCTTTAATCCAAATTATACTTTTAATGCTAAATTGTCACAAGAAGCATCCCAAACCTGACGCCTGATGTAAACAAGCAAGGAGCAGACCTGACAGTGAGGGTTGGTGCTTTAGTGGGGATATCCTGGCAAATCCTCCTATCTTACACTTAAGATTTACAAAAGCTCAATTGGAAAGTGTTTGCAGCGGTCTGGGCTCTTTTCCCAGACACTTCTATAGAACTGGAAATGTCTTTTGCAACCACAGTTTTAACGTAGCAGCACGCTAGCTTCACATTTCATACCCATCGTTTATACCGTCTATGGTTTTTGGTGTAGCGGCTCAGCTTTTGAGCTTTAACACATCCTTTCAGCCAGCTCTCGTCCTTGTCTTACACTCACAAGCAAAAGGCAGTTGGTCTTTCACAGCCAGGCATATCACCTTTCTATAAGATTACAAAGAACTATCTGCAAAACAGTGCTGAAGGAGGCAACTTCAACACTCTCACCTCCCATTGGTATGTTGCTGACCTGATCAGTGGGTCCATAGCTTTGCTTTGACTAAAGAGTTAAAAAAAAAAAAAAAGTCAGCATTTCAGTGCAGTGAATATTCAGCCTGCGGTATAAAAACAATGCTTGCCAAAGGAGGGCGGTTTGGCTCATGCTTAATGAAAACTTAAAAGCTATTAGCTTGCGTTGGGAGGGACTGTTTCCTGTTGCCATTACTGTGACAATTATGCCACAAAAAGACATCTCCACCAGCTTCAGGCCTACATCATAACAGTGCCCAGACATACACTATTAATAATGTGTAGCATATGGAGTCTTGAAGTATAGACAAACACAACAGCTATGGTGACTCTGAAGTATGTGACTTATGAATGTGGCCAGTGGGGTTATGTTGCAACAAGCATTTACAGCCTTTTGAAGAAGTCACCACTTCCTGTTATAGTGGGCGTAGATGTTGTATTTCGTATGTGTTCTGGTATCTAACTTCTAACATATTTCAAACAGGTTTAGTTTTTAACTTTGTTCTGTTCTTCGGTATAAATACACAGATTGAGTCCAAGAAAGAGATCTGCACCTCTGGTGGTTATCTATATTCAGCCTTGTAACAATAGTGCAGGAGAAAACACTGATAAGAGACTTGCGTAACCTCACACACCTGTATCGGTGTGCACACACATCCACTGCCGGCAGTGACACACAAACACACCCCTAGTCTCAAGGCTGCCGCTGCACTTTCAGGTGTGAGCACTTATGCACTATACAAGAAAGCTAAACAGCCGATCTAAAGATTACCCAGTGATCACCAGCGTGTCTTAGATTCATTTTTTTTTTTTTGAAAGAGTGCCTAGTTGAGGCAAAAGTAAAGATAAACAAGTCAGTACCGTTCTTTCCATAATATTCTCCACCCTCAGGCATGTTGAAATTCCTTCCTGGGGAACAAAATTTTCTTCTTCTTTTCACAGCTCCTTTATCTGGTTCACTTCATCCACCTTTCCTATCTGCTGCCACAAATGACTGAGTAAGGGGAGAACCAAGTAGTTTGGTAGGAAACCAGTTCAACCTGTTCCTGAATAGCCGCACAACAACCAATGCTCCACCCAACCTATTTCACAGTCCCATCCCCAAACACCTCTTTGTTTATCCCGAAAAAAAAGCAGCCTCTTTCCGACCTGTACTTGATCTCCCCCTACAGTACCTCCCCAGCACTTCCAAACATGATTTCTGTCGGCCTGCTTTTCCCCTCTTGTTTCCACGTAAAGTTGCAGGCAACTTTAACTCATCTACAGAGAGGCTGGAAGTAAAAGAAGGTGTGGGTGTGTGAAAGAGTAGGAGGAGACTAAAGTTCATTTGTGTATGTGATCAGGAACATGTGTTTGCAGTAAGCAGAGGAGGAGTTCTCCATCTGGGGGTGGTTGGCATAAATGCTCTCACTAATTGAATTCAGGTGTTTGGGATATTTATGGCTGTAAAATGGTCACCTGCAGCAACGTGACAGCTCACAAGCTTCTAAGCTTAAACACATCAGTATTGAGTAAAAACTAAAATGGTATATGTTTCCTTCCCACGGATCTACTGCACTGGGGGCAGAGTGAAACCCAATAAATCTTACAAGCTAGTGATTTTTTTTGTTCCCTGCCTGTATGATTTTGGTCTCCACTTCTGTTTGTTCCAACAGCCGAAAGCAATCAGAGCGTGTTAAACGAACTCATCATTTTAACAAAGAGTCCACAGACAGACTAAATGCCACGAATGCTTTCCACGGACACTCAGAGAAACCAGAAAAAAGGGGGAGCTGTAATGAAAGTTTCCATCCAGTTTTTTCTTTTTTTTTGGCTAATGTTACTGCACAAGAGAATTACCACTGCAAGCCTTTGGTTTCCTGTACTTCTCTAAACAGCAAAAACGCGTTGCAATAACTGGCACGGTGACACCGATCCAGCTCTTTTCCTTGGAAACTGATTTGAGGTATTAGAATCAAGTGTGATGGAACTGGTCGAACAGTCATGCGTAACTCATTAGAAATGACCTCCATCTGCAGACAGCTGCTACAACACGTGGGGCGATGCAGTGAGGGAAATGAAGCGAGCACATTTTTTATTTGAAGTTTTAATCTGATAAATACTCTCCAGTGTGCTGCAAGACACACTAGCATTTACTGGAAGCATAAAAAAAGTATAACATTTCCAACATGTAGAAGCGCTCTAACTTACTAATGAAAGGCCATGTTGGTTTTTAATGAACCTTCACAAAGACGTTTACAGTCCAATCTGCATTATTGTTGTGACTGAAGCTAAAGCTCATGTCCTCCATTGTTTCTTCTCAGCAGTATTTTTTTATTCATGTGCAGCATTTACTCTTTAGTGTGTCCCAACATTCCTGAGCTTCCCTGTTTTATTTTCTTGATACCTTCCCACACATCCTGGAGTTACATGAAAGCTTCTCAGAGTGTTTTCTAAGGACATTCTGACCCTTTGCAGCACAAAACACACAAGTGGAGCTATATTTTTGTTTTTCAGCTGACTGATATACTGGCTATTCATTTAGGACATTTTCTAAAATAAGATTTTACACTTTTATTCTTTAGAAACAATTCAGTTCTTTCAATGTTATTTATTATAGCACCAAATTAAAACAACACTTCACCTTAAGGTGCTTTATATTGTAAGGTAATGACCCTGCAATAATATAGAGTAAAAACCAGGCAACCCCCTATGAGAATGCACTTAGTAACAGTGGGAAGGAAAAACTCCCTTTTAATGGGTAAAAACCTACAGCAGACATATGCTGATCTCAATATTGGAAACACTTCCCATCTTTAGAGTTGTTGTTTGGGGTTGCCACTTTCTCCCCACGTAGGTTCTCTTTGGGTACTCTCTCTGGTTAGATTCATTGGTAAATCTAAACTCCCTTTAGGTGTGAGCGCATATGGTTGTCTGTCTCTCTCTGTGTTAGCCCAGCGACAGACTGTCCAGGGTGTACCCTAGATCTTCCTCTATGGTGGCTAGGAAAGGCTCCAGCTGGCATAAAGTAAAAATAGATGAAATGTTAACAATAGCTTGTCTTGCTCTCAAGCTGCATAAAACGTTACCAAGGGCTGCCGCTGGTTGCACTAGCTTAAAATCCTGAAGCTAAAGGTCACAGCCCTTCCTGTCTGTGTCCCACATGTCTGTCAGTACAGAAAGAGGGTGTGGATAACTTCAGTCCAAGTTCAGATCTATTTCCGGTATTACAGAAAAAGCAACACAATGACCACACGCAAAAATGCAAGCAAGCTGTTGGATCCTTTGGGAAATGGTTGCAAAGATTTGGACTCGACTTTTGCAAGAGGAGTGTTTCTTTTGAAAATTGAAGTATTTTCAGACAGCAGCTAATCTTTAAGCTCATCAAAAATGAGCACTTGCACAACAACTTTAAATACATCTGATGAGCATATCAACTCCTATTCTCTGCTGTCAGATGCAAGGAAGAGATTTCTGCTACAGATATGATGCAAAGTGAAACCCACACATTTAATTTCAACTTAGGCTTGTAACACCTATCTAGAAAATCATCATTATAAATACCACCAGCTGACGACAGTAAGTCTCTATGAAGCTGTTTAAAATTTTGTTTATATGACATGAACACTCAAGCACAAATTGGCACAATGTCCTGTGATGATAATAACAGGAACTGTGAGTGAGATTAAGATGTGATCTACAAACACAGACACTGCCAGGGAGAATAAATACAAGACCATAGCTCAGTTTTTACCCAGTAACTCACTCTTAGTGCCTCACACTCTCGCAGTTCAAAGCAGCTGACAAAACCACAAAGCTGTTAGCAGAGTCACATAACCCAGATTGGTCTGCAAGGGTATGATCAGGCACCGTTCAGTGCAAACAGAAGGCTGCAGTAATAGATGTATTTTTATTTTGTTTTTGTTTTTTGTCAATGCAGCACACGAAGTGAAATGAAAAGAAAGTGAATGGATGAAATGTTTCCAAAAAAAATCTGAATGTAGTTTCAGCATAGTCTAACATGACATGACGGAGAGATCAGGGGGGCATGGAGATCAGGTTTCAAACTACACTACTAAATATGGCTTGTAATTACGCCTAACTTGCACCAGGGCGAGGCTGCATGGTTGTTTCAGGTCCTGTCATTGAGGTTTCTTCATATATTACAGCCTGAAATTACTCCAACGCATAAAACTGGTGGAGATCCTATAGTGTGTTCTGACATTTTCTGCCACATGGAACATTAAGGTTATTGTTCTTTTCTTCTTCTTTTTTTAGTTGTTTCTTTTAGCTGGTATGAAGATTCACTGAAAGATATTAAAGAATTTGAGAGGCTGGAGGCATTCTTACTCACTTTCACAACGAACTACACTGAGCAAACTCACATTGTACAAAAAGGCACACACACATACACAATATTCATTGCAATCTGTGGAAGGTAAATTGAATCAATTAGCCATCATGTGGCAAGCAAAGTGGGAAAGGGTGTGTCCAGGGAAGAGCAGGAGGAAAATACTAAGAACTGCAAGCAGAAGTAACTGGCCTCGCTTTTCATTCCTTCCTATGATCATGTTAACAGTATAAACTGCAAGATGCATGTGAAGAGACTAGAAGTTTGTACAAAAGGCACATGTTATTGGTCCAAAAACAGACTTTATGGGGGAAAAAAACCCACCTCGCTGCATAACTTTTTGTTTGTTTGATGTTTTTTGTTAGCTTAAATCGCTCTTCGTTTCATAGAAAACCATTTCCCCTGTACTGATTTCACTGAGCAGAAAGCTGTACTACAATTACTATTGTGTGCAAGAATAAAAACACATTTTTAACAAGTATTTTGGGATAAGTGGGGGCATAATTACACCCATATTACCTGATTACGAACTACAACAGCCAAAACAGAGAAGCACTGATACTGTAGTTGGAGTCTGCGTTTGAAATGAAACTAAAGATAGCCTTCCCAAAGCAGACTGAATGCACTCGGTGGACAAAATGAGACCCTCTTCACTTGTTTGAGGAATTTTCTAATAAGCTGTGCTCTATATGCACGCTGGGTTAGCTGAGCTGCCTGCCATAGCAGTCTGAGGAATGTGGCAGCAACTGGACAAGCACAACACAAACTGGGGCATTGTGCACCCTGACAATATATAGCAGCATACTTCAGGCATCCTGTGTTTTCACAACACACACGCAGAACAGGGCTCCCGTGCCGTAACTGAAAACATTGACTCAGAAGTAAAAGCTAGCTTACCTTGCGTTAGTTTGTGACAATACACGGGTTCGACACTTCGCCAGAGAAAGTGCTAACTTGAAAAATTAAAAGTCGAGAATGAGGAAAGGTACTTTACTAAGCAAAGCTGCTGGGACCATTGTGAGACCTACTTTCGCAGCTCCAAAAACGCAATAAAACTTGGTTTTACATTAACTGCCAATAAGGACTTTGGACAAATGAAGTGAGCGTCTCCGTTTCAGGCTTTAAATATTTACCGTATTTTGATTTCTCTTCCAGTTCCATGATTATGAAATGTTTCTTCTGGACCAGAGATGCTCACGTACGACCACTAAAACGCATTTCCAGCCCTGACAGACGTCCGTGTGCTGCGCTTCCCTCAACTTGCTCGCTTTGTATAAGTCCGCTCCAAAATCTTGACCGTTCTGCCAACGTTTAAAGGGGGATTCCTCAGAGGAGAGCACTGACCAATGAAAATCAGGGATGCCATGATGGACAGGATATTCAACCAATCAGATGCCGAAGGCGGGAGTTCATGTTCCCGGAGACTGGGTTAATTTCTGGTACCGTTAGTGATACAGGGCTTGTTCAGTCTATAACAATGCAGCAAATGCGGTTCATCTCAATATTTAACGAGGGCTTGATGATTTGTTCGGATATTATTACCAATTCACAGCGAAAAAATAATATTAATTGGACCAGAATGCAGCAAAGCAATGACATAGCATAACGTTCATTGGCCGATGAAATCCAAGATAACATTAATTATAAAAAGCAATTTATTCATTCATAATTCAACTTACAGTCTTAACATTACCTATTCAGACTCTGCACTGTGTATGAGTCACGACAGCTCCCCTTGATCCAGAGAATGCACGAAGATCCATGACACAAATAAATTTACTTCAGGAAATCACTCAAGTATTTTGAGCGAAATACAGTTTAGCTATTGAAAGCAAATTCGTTGTGGAAGGGGAATGCCCTTACATGATATCATGAAACAATAACAATAACATTATCAATCAAATGTACTGTGGCATACAGTGGCGGTCCTAACCCCCCCCCCCCCCCCCCCACACACACACACACACACACAAAACATATTAAGGATTGTACATTAACATAAAACTGTTGTACACACACACACACACATATGAAGAGAGAGAGTATGCATTGTATGCAAACGGCTACCAAACAGCCATCATAATTCGTCATACAATGAGAACAGGACAAGTCAACAATCGACAATGACTAATTAATATTAAAAATCTGTAACATAATGTATTGTTTGGCGTTTAATCTGTTACTGTTACTATTTTTACCATTTCTTCTTGGAGCAACTGTAACCCACATAATTTCCTTAGGGATTAATAAAGTACTCTGATTCTGATTGTTTCAGGATACATGACCTGCCATTATCCAATCACACATCTGCTTACCTGTATCTTTTGCTCGTTTCTCCTCCTCTTCTTTTCTCTTTTTTCTAAACTGAAGACATGATGGCTTTGAACTTTTCTTGTCCATCTTCCATTGGTTTTAATTTTGAACTCCAGTATGAACACCCATCTCAACCCAAGGATCACCACAACATGATCTAACACACCTACACCTTAGTTCACAGATTCACTTTGTCTAAGGTGTATTTCTGGGATTTCAAACAACCCAGGATTCAAATCATGAATACATAATGGGCTCGGATTTACAACATTATGAATGAAATGTGCTCTATTTGGAAGCAGCAAGCCCTCCCTCCCCTTCTGACGGGTTGTGTGTGAGACTTTTAATCATCAAACTGTAAATTTAAAATTTAAAATTATTATTGATCCCTTTACCTCTGGTCCTAAAGTGTATATTTATTTTCTTACTCTTCTTATATTTATTGTTTGTTTACTTGCACTGCTGTAACTGGAGCCTCGTCGTCTCGTCTCTCTATATACTGGACTGTATGTAGCGGAGATGACAATAAAGTTTACTTTGACTTCAGCACAGCAGCAAGCAGGCGCACCGAGGGCTCTCGCGCTCACTTTTCGTGTATAGACTTTCGAAAAAACATCGGTGCAAATTATAAGTCTGTATTATAATGTCTGGTGTTTTCGTGTTTATTGGTTTGTTTTTATTTTGTTTTATTTTGCGAGTTGGTTATTAGATGCTGCTCCAGCCGGTCAGAAAATCCCCCACCGCCCCGCTCTCTCCTCTCTGCCCCGCAAAGCAGGCGCAACTCGCAAACGAATGGCGCTCTTACTCCCAGCAAATGGGCGATAGAAAGCCGATCGGTGGCTGTGACATTCCCAATATGCGCTGGTTGACGTCGGGGCAGCATGAGTATTAGCATTTTTTATTTTTTTTGCCAATGCCCGTAATGCTGCCCCCCACCACGATGCCGCCCCGGGCAACCGCCTGTGTCGCCCGTATCTAAAACCGCTACTGGTGGCATAGGAAGAGACAAGAAATGACAAGAGCTGTTTTAAGACAGATTTTTGAATTGGGCTACGTTGCTTCTTTTTAATAAGTCGGGTTTCTTTATTATTTGAGACTGTTACGTCCCTCTGCAGCCCCTAATCTCCTCAATGTTTTCAGCTGGTGCTAATTGGCACACCTAGTCAGGTGTGGATAAAAGCATACCTGAGGCAAGCTTCCAGGGAGCTCACTTGTCTTTGTGACACCAGCCATTTTAGCCAACCTGGTATTCAATTTTAAGAAAAAACCTCTTCTCACTAACACTCTGGTATTCATCTTTTTTTATGTTGCGGCTTCTGAGCCAGGTCGTAACATAAGTGGGGGCTCGTCCGGGATTGTTTGGACATTTTTGTGGAGACTAAATATCCGTTTGTTTGACTTTTAAAGTGGGTGAGTGATGGTGTTCACTGTGATTGAGCAACGTCCCTTTAGTAAGTGTGTTTCAGCTGGGTGGCTGTGCTGCCCTTCCATCAAAGCACTTGTTTGTTGTTTTGCTTTGTTTTAGTTTGTGTTTGGTGGTTATCCTGGGTGGGGGTACGTTTCAGAGTTTGGTAGGAGACTATATCTCTGGTCTGGTGCCTGCTCTCAAGTTTGCCTTTAAAGTTGCCTCGAGCCTGGTACACCACTGAAGACTAGGTAGGTAAAGTTAGGGTTTTATTGTTTTTAGCGTCGTTCCCAGACGAGCCCCCACTTATGTTACGACCCCAGCTCAAAAGACGCAACATAAAAAAAAACAAAAGACAAATACCAGAGTGTTAGTGAGAAGAGGTTTTATCTTAAAATGGCATAGCAGGTTGGCTAAAATGGCTGGTGTCACAAAGACAAGTGAGCTCCCTGGAAGCTTGCCTCAGGTATGCTTTTATCCACACCTGCCTAGGTGTGGCCAATTAGCACCAGCTGAACACATTGAGATGATTAGGGGCTGCAGAGGGATGTAACAGACACTATGGATTTAAAAAAAAATATCTAAAGTATTACTGTATAACCTATAATTACGATAACTTTATTTATAAAACGCTTTAAGTGCTGAACAGCTATTTCAAGAGTAAAAAAATAAATAAATAAAAACAATAAAGAATATGCATATCCATTGACAATATGCATCATCATTGGCACTGATTTAAAAAATCTAATAGAAACTAAGATGCTATCAAATAAAACGAACAATATTTAAGTGTAAATATGTGGTGTAACAGATCTTGTGACGTGAAATCAAAAGAGACATTTAAAGTGAAGGTATCTTATTCATACTTGTGCAGTCTAACTACTGTGTTGTCCTCTTACCTCCAACCTATTTTGGCAGATGGCTGCCCCTCCCTGCCTGCTTCTGTTGGAAGTTTCTTTCTGTTAAAAGAGTTTTTCTTTCCCACTGTCACCAAGTGCTTGCTAATATTGTTTCTTTACCTTATAAAGGGTGACTGTTGTTGTGATTTGGCATTATTCAAGTAAAACTGATTCGAATTGAAAGGAAATGTTATTAGGGAGCAGACAATTACTAAACTGCGCTATTTTAAAATTCCTCAATTGAAAGTAAAATAATTTGTAAAAAAAAAAAAAAAATCTAAATAAAATTGGGGGAAAAAAATGAACGAAAAACGAAATTATGATCTGGCGTCCACTTTCTGGAATTAGGGTGTTGACATGATCTTTCCTTGTAGCGATCACGCTTTTATTTTGGGAAACGGGAGCACAAACTGCCACTCCCCCGCTAATGAGCCAATCAGAGTGCGCTACAGCTGCCGAAGAGTCATTTAAAGTCGGTCACTTTCAGTGATAATAAATGGCTACAAAAAAGCCGAGCGGTTGTAGTGTTACCTTTTTGGTCTCGGATATTATGTGTGTAACCTTCATTAGAAAGATGATTGATTCTATGCGGGAATAGTGGAGTACTGTTCAGTCAGAGGCGTATGGTTAAGGTATTATGCCACACTTGTCACGGCCTTTGCGTGATGACGTAGACTGAATGTGTTTACGTCCAGTCATGTAAAAGTCATCCAAGCAACCTAAGAAGAGCTAGGTCGAGGATAAGTTGTTCCACTTGACGCAGGTAAAACTTGGTCTTACGGTTGTCATTGGAGTATTAACAGTTATTCTCAACACAGAATACATTTTTATTTTAGCTATTTGGAAATTAGCACATTAATTCCCAACTTAGTAGTGAACTAGCGCTGTTAGCTTTTAGCTACAGAAGTTACCTAATGTAGCACTAGTTAGCCTGACTAGCCTAAGTGATAAAGAATCGTGGATCTTAATGGTCTTCTTCTTTTCTAGACCCGTTTTCGTCATGGCATTGAGAAGCGCTGTGTGTCGTCTCTTAGTCAACCCTCACAGATGTGCTCTCATCACAGCTTCCAGAGCACAGGGAACTGCAGCACCTATCACACACGGTTAGTACTGTGAAATCCGCCACTGAGGTATACGTGGTTTCCTCACCCACAGTGACATCCTCCCATCAGTGTCGTTATGATTAGCATGATGTTCAGACTTATCATTTAAAGTTGACAGCCAGAGGTAGAAATACAGGGGTTTTAGATTTGAAGCTGCGTTTGATACCGAAATAAATATACCTTCAGCTCAGATAGTGTTCTCGAAATGACACTTGCATTTCCATTTGCTTTTTTTTATAGAGGGGAAAAAACAATATTTTATCGTATATTAGGATATATTAAATAGTCACAAATCCTTAGTTCATAGTATTAATGTTTTTCTGTTGCGTGTTTTTGTTGTTGCTGCTGTTCCTTCACAGATGTGGAGAAGACAGAGCAGAAGCCTAAAGCACGTACGTGTTTACTTTAAGAAAAAATTCTGACTAACATTTGTAAATTGTACCTTTAACCCAGAACCTTTTTTTAGACTTTAAGTATTAAATTGGTTCTCTAAATGCCTGATAGCGAAGGTCCAGTTCGACTGGCGTGATGCCCTGGACCTGGAGGGTCAGTTAACTGAGGAGGAGATCAT